CTTTTAATATTTTTCCAGAATTTCCTAAGTCGAACAGTAGAGCGTTTTGGCCGATTGAGAAATTCGATGGGTTCTATGCTGCTAAAAATTCGTCTTCGTGTGTCAAGATAGTGTTTTACTCTAATATGGTACGGTACGTACTTATTTTCAATGTCAGTTTGAGTTGCAGTCTCGGCGACTGAACATGTATTTGCCATATAAGTTGTAAATATAGTATTTGGAGTTGATTGCTCCAAACTACCATATGACTGTATTTCTGGCAAGGACTTTATTCTTTTGTGGGATGCGTCAAACTGGTGTTGGTCTGCGCATCCCGCTTCCGGTTTCCCAAAAGATTGCATTTGCTACAATTGGGTTTAAAAGTATTTTTAGCACCGCAACCGTAGCAGAATATACGCCTTTCTCCCATGCAGTCATCGAATCGGTGTCCCACTTTATCGCAATTCCAGCACACTATTTTCTTGTTCTGTATTTCTGAAATATTATCTTCTATATCATTATTTTCCAGTAACTCAGAGACATTACCTCTACCGTATTTGGTTCGATTGGGAAACGAGCCAGTTTCTCTACAGAAACTTTCATGTTTCTTAACTTCCTCTCTTAATTCTGCTCGAGTTCTAATCTTCAAATGCAATAGTTCGTACCTGAGCGCTGTTCTCGCATTGCGTTTTAATAGGTCAACAAGCTTGTCTTCGCTTATTTCGTTAGATAATTGGCTAACCAGGCCTTCAATCGCTGATTGAAAATCATCAAATGTCTCCTGATCTTTCTGGCGTCTTTTCCTAATTAGTTCCCACAAGTCAAAGTCGTCTTTAACGTCCTCGAATCTAAGTCGGAAATCCGTACAGAAAGCCAACCAGGTATACTGTGGGTTTTTCTTGTGGAAGCTCCAAAACCAATCATTGGCTTTCCCGAAAAAAAGTAAATGAAGATTGTCACAAAGCAGCCTATAGTCGCCGTTCAAATTTTGAGCCGTTAATGAACGAATTCGATACAAGAATTCATCTATCTGCATAGAGTCTTTCGAACCGTCAAATTTAAGTCGCCAGGTTTGCATAATGCTAGCTGCTTTTTCTGAACTCAAACTTGAGTTTGATCGATTGCTACCTCTGGGGCTGTATGGTCCGCAGTCAAGGGGTATGTCAGAGTTCTGGGCACTATTAGGGAGAGTATCAGCACCTAATCCCCTTGGAGACTGAACTAATCTAGAGCGTGTTGATTCAGCTTGCTCACTTCGTACATTTAATGTTGCTAACTTCTCTTGCAGTGATTGTTCAACAGAAGCTTTAATAACGTTTTTGAGTTCTGCTATTAAAGTCCTTTGCTGAGATTGTAGAGCTTCGTTGATATAGGTAATTGTCTCTACATTTGGACCATTGTCCACTGACTTATTTCCGTTGCTGCCTAAAGACATGCAACTACCTAAATATTCTCTATGATTTCGATTCATAGACCTAGTTTGCATACTTCGCTTGGGCGTGGCTCCTCGCCCTTTTCCGAATCGCTGACCTCTCCTGATACCTGTAGTAGTCGAACCATCTTGGCAAGGTAGAGTATTTCGCGATAGAGTTTCGTCTGTTTCAGCATTACCAGCTGAGTGTAACTCCGCTGCCAGTGGATTGTTCATAAATATTAGTTGCCCTGGGTTGCAATCTGCCTCACATACTGGACATTTTGGGGTTGTCTTTAGTGTATTGCTTATGCAAACGTCGTGAAAACGGTGTTGACAAGGAGTAGTCGCAGATAGCTGTTCTGCTTGCAATTGCTCATGGCAAATGCCACAAAATGGATCTTGCGCGTTAATCGCTGCAACTATGCTCTCTGTGCTTCGTCTCACTGCCATAATGAATGCAAACTTTTGCTTGTTTCCAAACAACAAAAGGAAAACTAAATAGGACTTGTATTATTAAGTCTTGGTTATTTATTCTATCTGTCTTTTTCCCACACGTTATTGCTTACAATCCTTAAGCAAACCTGAGTAGTTGAATTTGTGCTATTTATTTTACTGGAGTCTATTTCTGATTTGGATTTTTACTGCTCATGGACTACTAGACAACATCCGAAATATTTCCAGTTTGTTGTAATTCCAAATAGTCCTTGAAACAATTAACCCAAATTTGATTATTATTCCCTCTTTTCCGATCTTACCCGCTGCTTAAAGTACTAGTAATTAATTGTGGTCGACTAATCCAGCAATGCCTGAATTACAATCGCAAATTCCTACAACTAACTACTGTCTGAACACAACGTATTTTCCCGAGAAAGGGGCCTAACAGGGTAATTAAAAAATAATAGGTAGTAATTGATATGGTATAACTTCGAGTTTCGATTGGGGATTGTTGTGCACTAGGTGTTAGTCGTGCTTACGCAAGAAGTAAAAGTTTTACGTTCTTGCTAGGGCCCCACGTTGGGCGCCATATATGTAATGGTGGGGAGGTTCGGGTTCAGTTTTTGCCTTTCGTTTGGCCATCTACCAAAAATAAAAACAAACGGCCGTGGCTGTTGCCTAACCGGGTGCATAGGGATTGGAGGTTCGCACTTCTTGCTAATACTCGGACAATAGCTCGTCGGACTGGTCGGGGTTTTTTTCCTTTCCCTTTTGCACTTACCATAAACACATAGTTTAAGTGCGATCAAAAAAAATAAAAAAAAACTTATTGATTTAAGTAAATCCATTGAAACAAAAAAAAAACCGGATTCTAGTATGGGCACCATTAATGTGTTCCGACCGAACACCCAAATTCAAACTATTCAATTTCGCGTAAGTGAGAGAACTAAGGTGTTGATCGTCTCTCTTTCTCTTTACCCTCCCTACCTTGACAAGCAAAAAAAAAAAATGGAATGTGGATGCTTGTCCCTATTTCAGGTTCTTAAACCATCACTATAAATTGCAAGCGGCTAACATGGGTACTGGACAGATAAAACAATTAATTATGGAATTAGGATATCATATCATATAAGCTAATATAATTCGTTTATTCACGCATTGTTCAATTTTGTTGCCAATTAATAGCAAGGTGAGTATAACTCTATTTACAAGAAAAAAATATACAGTTTCCAAACAAAATTTGAATCCAAAGTTAATATGATGAATGTGCAATAACTAGTTTAAATCCCATAAAGAAATTAAGGGGAAGGAGAAATTCACCAACATTATCTTGAGACTTGACGGATAGTAATTAATTTACCGTCTTGCTAAATTAACTGCATTTAAATGTTCATGTGTGTATATAATTACATATATCTATAGGCATTGGTTTAAACTCTTACTCACGCGATATCCTTCGAAGCAGACGTTGGGCCCAATGTATACGACGATTATGATCGCTGTTGCTAAATATTACAAAAGAAATTTATAAGTATATAAACACATGTATATATATATATATATATATATATATATATATGAGCAACGGTCAAGGTCGGTGGTGTAGGAATTTCCTCTCGCTTTAACTTATTTAGGCATATTCATTGCACATTTTGTTTTAAAGAAATTAGTAAAAGAAAAAAAAAATTAAAGGAAATAAAAATTAAAACTAAGGATCTATTAGCCGTCCATCTTGGCAACGTTAAACAATTAATGGAATTATATGGCAATGCTGCTAAGCAAGCGAAAGGGGTACACCAAAAGTAATACAGACTCGGCTCCTTTGTTACTCTCTGCAGGTTACACTATATGCTTAGTGCATGCGGTCCCGATGGTGCTGCATAAATAGTAAGCGTTTCACCCGCTTGACGCCGTTTTCCGAGGCTATGCCAGATGTTGTTCTTCGCAAGACAGCGGCTGATAAGTAAAATAGCAACAAAATTGGTTCTGCTGGGTTGCTAAGTGCGACACGTGCTCTTGGTGTTGCCCTTGTCTGGTCCGATCTCCCCCTCTGGTAGTGCCGACTAGTACGTCTAAATCTAGTCAACTGAGCAGGCACGGAAACTGTGGAAGCCTTAATTAGTTCCAAGTCTCAACACTAGCACATATAAATACCTTTTCTTTAAGGGTCACCCCGAATCACAATTAGGTTAGTGGGTCGAGTTGTTATGAAGGTTTTTGGTTTCTATTAGCGTACCAAAAGAACACTTCCAAACTGTACCACAATTGCAGCCTTGGTCGTTGATGTCTTTGCAAAAATTATTTGCAAAGAAAGAAAAAAATGTTATGAACTTAACTCGCACGCGCTTCAAATATATCTGACATGCTGAGCTGTACTTTTAACCTTTACTACTTCCCAACGACAAAAAAAATAAGGAAGCTTTCAAAAGCTCTACATCACGCGATTATATTTTAAAACGGTACTATGGCCTGATCTTATCACCTTTTTCCTCTCTATTCGCCCTATTCGGTTGCGCATGCCCTCAGCTGTGCAATAAACGAAGAATTGGCTTCCAGCGCGGTCGGTAAAGCAGTAACTAAACTAGAGCAGCTGATCAACAAGCAGATTCGTTTGGGGAGTGCAAAGCAGCCACTACACAGTGCGTCATCAAAGCCTTTGTATATGTACGCGTAATTAACCAATAGACTCGTATAAATATCAACAAAGTACCATATATTAAACCACTCCCTTTGTTTTTCCTTTTTTTTTTCTGAATAAAAAGTCAACTTTTTATCGTGTAAAAAAACATTGCAATAACGGGAATTAAATTGTGCAAGATTCTTTAAAAGCTCTAAAAGAGAGAGCGTAATTTTAATTAAGCTTCAGTATGAAGCTGTCAGCGAGTCGCTTCTTTAATTGTAGTCTCAAGTGTCTTGCTCGTGTCGAATAACACACACTTAAATTATTTGTAGTTAAAAGGAAATTTAAAGAAATTTAAAGCTGTTGATTTCTGTTATAGACTGTTGTGACCGACTGTTATTATCGATGAATGTCACATGTTATCTATAAATCTGTATTTATCACTATATAAAAACCATATTTAATCACAAGATAGTTTTAATTCTTCAGTTACTACAATACAAATTACTTAGCCAAATAATTACTTAAATTTTCTTATTTGTCTTCTTACAGTGCTGCAATAATTTAAATTGAATGCCACAGGACCTCAACACGATCTGGCAATACAATCCCATTAAAAGCAGACATTAGTGACATACAGAGATATAATAAAATAAAACAAAAAGAAAAGGTCCCCAAAAATTAAAGCAAAGTCAGATAAAAGAAGGCACTTTGATTGCAACATAAAATTGCCACAGAAAATTGCATAAAATTGCAGCAAAAAGCCGGGCAACGAGAGAGAGAGAGAGAGAGAGAGAGAGAGAGAGGGAGAGCGAAAGAGCGAGCGAGAGGCGATATAACCAAGAAAAGACAGAAAAAAAGACGAAGATAGTCGTATCTAAACGGGGTCAGTAATTTGCTGCACGATTGCCAGACGAGCCAACAACCCAACGAACTGGAAGTTTAATTGCCTCAGCTATCGTTGTTGTTGTTCTTGTTGCAGTTGCGGTGCCTCCCGTTCTTGTTCTTGTTGTTGTTGCTGTTGTCTGAAGCGCATGCAACAATTAAAGCCAAAAAGTTTCGGACAAAATGCTGCTGCCTACGCCCGGGCGCCAACTAGCTGAACTGGTCCATCGACAACAACAACACTTGTGCCGGGCATAAAAAAGCCAAAAAAAAGAAAAGAAACAATCTCCAAAATATCCAAAGAATAACTGAAGAAGAAGATATCGAAGGCGCAGCAGAAGAAGTGTGCCGTGGCAGGAGGAGGAGGAGGAGCGAAATTGTCTGCTTCTAATTTGAATGGACTCAACAGCATTCGACATACAAATGCATATTTGGAAACTTTTGTTAATTGGTAAGTGACAGTTTTTGTTTATTGTTTTTTTTTTTTCTCCATATATATATATATTTTACGGTCCAATGAAAGCGAAAACTTGACCCAGCCCCACCCCTCGTTGCCGACAAGAAAGCCAGCCCGAAGTTAGCACAGCTTGTAAACAACGTACCAGGCACCAAATAAGAATGCTAATTCTCAACTTTCCACGCGCTGCATTCGTTAAATTAAACAAAAAATGAAAAAAACCAGAAAAAATAAGCAGCAATTGTGGATTGCGGAATGTCGAAGACTAAATACACTTGCCAGCAGATCAAACTTTTCTTCTGGTTTTGATTTTCCACTCAATCCACTTCATTGAAGACTCTCATTTCTTCTGACAAAGTTAAGCTTCTACAGGCTCAATTTAGCTCGACAGCCTGAAAAGATATCTATTTAGGCGGGAACAGCACCTAAAAAAGTCGCGAATACCTTTTGTCAGTGTATAAAATAGGAGCAAAAGGCAAGGACAACTTAAAGAAAAAAAAAGGGTTCCAACTTGCAGGCCACGTATCTCTTGCTGCTTCGTCCTTCTCGTTCTTCATATTTAACTTGGCCTCCTGGCAGCTGACTTCCGTTGCTGTTGCTACTGCTGCTGTTGCTATTGCCCGGAGATTCTTGCATGTTTTTTCTTAAATGTTCTTGGTTTTTTTTTTTAGCTGTTATTTTTGTTGCTACGCTGATTTAAATAGTACTTGTACTTTTGCCTACTTGTTTCCAGCCTCAACTTGAGCAAGTTTCAGTTGCGTTCCTTTCGTCGAGTGCAAAGTGTCGAGTGCGCCTGAAGCGGCAGAGAGCGACTCCTCCTGACCTCTTTGAGGTGTTTAATTATGAAGCCACGCACAAGCTGCAACTTGTGGCCGCTTAGTTAATTTGTTTTAAAGTTTTAATGCTGACTTTATATGGTGAAACTTTAGTTGAATCCCAATTTTCAGCCTTGGCCGGGGTAAACTAATTGCATACAAATTGCCAGAATGTGCAGCATATGCTGACGATATATCTTTATTAAATTGAGTTGCTTTTGTCGTAAGTGATAAAACAGCTGTTACGGAATATCGATAAATTTTGAATTGCCCATTGAGACTCTTAACAATATTTTCTTAAAGCATTTTCCACCATTGCTAAACATGTTTTGCTTTTAATTTCCTTAAGGGTTGGAGAACGGAACATTTGTAAGCTCATAATAGTTTTATATATATTTATATATATTATTGATATATTATTAAGTATTTTAAAGCTCTTAAAATTAGCGTCTATTCACACTGCCATACAACACTGTGACTTCCCTCTCGTGCTTTGCAACACCGCTGTCCGACTATTTTACAACTCTACAAAGTTCACCAAAAAGGCTGAGACAGTGGCTCTTATCAATTTGAGGCATATATTTATATGCAAGTCCCTTTAAGAATTTTTATTGCAAAGCTTTTCAGACGAATGCTTTGCATTAATATGCATTTGTGCATTGCCTATCAATTAGGTTTTAGTTTACGTATAGCAACTAATTGATGCACTTCACTTTCTATCTCTAACATTAGGCAATTAAGAATGATAAACATTTTTTAATAAAGGACTTGCTGAGCAAAGTAGTGTCCATATAATTACAAAATAAATAAACTTTAAAATTTCTACTTCAGCATTAACAATGGCAATTTGAAACATATTGATAACAGGTAATAAAAACGTTTTCAATTCAATTGAAGCTAAGCTCAATTTCAATTACGATTTCTTGTCCTAGTTTAGTTGTAGTTGGACAAGAATGTGAGAGTGTGTATATGTTCGTATGCGTGCGTGCTTCCTTTATTTTTATCTTGTTTAGCTTTTCAATGGCGCAAACTTTTGAAAAGACATCCTGGCAGGGAATCCTGTGCACTTAATAAAGTTATATAAGTGTCTGAAGCGTTTTAGTGCCGTGACGGCAACGGGCCCTGAGGTCAAGTCCGGCGCACGCACACACATACGCAGTTGATTGATGACATCGATAAGTTCTTATAAATTGCACACATGTCCTGTCATGTCCTGCGAGATAAACCTGAGCAGCGACTGTGATTTTGCAGTTGCAGTAAATTACTCACAAATTTGCATTCCATTACCACATAGCTCATAGCTCAGGCACAGCCCAAGCAGATTCTTTGCACTATTTTTTATCTCTATTGTGGCATTAGCCAACACTGGATAATTTCTCTTGCTGCCTAAACTCATAGCAACAACGAAAAAATCCAACTGCACTTGAGACTTGGGTTTAGCGGCTAGCCGCTTTAAAGGGAATGGCTTGAGGGGTGCAGCCTTGCAGTCTGTTGAACTGCTCTGGCGCTTAATGAGTGCCCCACACAGCAGTGCTGTACATAACTGTACTTCTGCTTATAAGCGACTATGCTGGGCTTAACAAAAGCCAAAGCCAAAGCCATAGCTAAAGTCAGACGCAAACAAATAAAATTAAAAACACAACTCAAACAATTAAACTTTGACTGAGTTTCGCAACTGGCAGACCAAAAACTATTTTTTATAGTGTACTTTGTTGACCTGCTCAGATATGCTAAACAAAATGGCTGCAAGTGGCCCACTGTATGTGTATGTGTGTGTGTGTATGTGTGTGTATTTATATATACAACAAATTGAAGTGCGTTTCACACTTTTCGCCAGTAATGCGAATGTTTTGCTTTTGCTTTTTTGGCAATGTTTAAAGTTCGCCTCTTGTGGTTAACTTGTTTGACCAACTACGAAAATGTTGCTTAACATAGTTTACAAGTTTTTCAAATTTTCATCTAGCCAATAGTAAAAAAAAACTTTTTAAACAAGCTATGTATGTGGCAAAAGTTTTAATAGTCCATTTAAATAATTAACTACATTTGAAGGTGGTCTTACGCTTGTTCTCAAAATAAAAGATTGTCTTATAAGAATCTTCAACAATTCACCAACAGCCAACTCTCCGTAAAAAGTTAAGTCGTGACCTAGTCAAACTTAACGAACCCAACTTTGCTATAACAACGAGCAGCTTTTGCTACGAAAAGCACTTCTGTGTTTGCCAAAGACTCCTTTGAAAGCTTTTGCTATAAAAATAGTCCTTAGAAATTTAAAAGCATTTTATATCAAAGTTAGCGAGCTTTTCAGGAACGTATAAAACATAAGAGTATGAGGAATGTATAAAATATAAGTATCTACGCAGAGTATAAGGGATATAGCGAAATGTACTAAATATAAGACAAGCAGCAATTTATGCAGAGTTACCGAGCTTTTTAAACAACGAATAAAATATAAGTGTGTAAGCTAACAAAAGGACTTTTCGAAACAAACATATAAGACTAGCATCAATTCTCGTATATCTGCGAAATATAGAACTTGGAACAAAATGAGTGAACTTATATTGTATGCGGGGACTTTTTGCAACATCTAGAGACATAAGATTGCCAGCTATATGATACAAGAGCTTATACAGTTTATAAGACAAAAGGACATTCGCGGTACGTTTAAAAAATAGAAATAGAATTAAAATAAATGTGTCAGTAGTAAAAAATTGAAAATATAAAAAGGAATATTTCCGAGAAATAAACACTCACAATTAAAAATAATTTAATGATAAATTTGTTTTGATATAGTTACTCTTATACGCTTTTTAAGTCGTGAGACTTACTCATACATAATCTTTATTCAGGAATTATACTTAATTTTAGAAGATAACATAATCGAAAAGCTTTATAAGAAATACTCCGAATTTTGTAACCCTGTATTAATTCACTTAAGTCCAAATGCTTAGAATTGACTCTACTGTCAAAAATGCATTTCCCATTTTCAAGTTAGGGCTTTCTAGTTCTCCTATAAATATAAATGATATAAATAAAGCCAAACAAACTGTTATATGAGCATTTAAGAGAAAGCAAACTCTTTAAAATGCTGAAAAGTTAAAAGAAAATTTAAATTTAAAATAATATTTTATTTATTATGTTAGTGGACTTTAAATATAATTTCTCTCTGCATCTGTTTCTTTCCCGCTTATATAGTTTTGATAAACGATTTCTGTTTACAAACCGTTGCAAATTTATATTTATGCGATTGCGACCCAAATAATAATTCACTTTGTCAACCGCAAATGTCATCCATAATAAAGACATATTCCACTATCGTGGTGCAATAACATAACCAAATCAGAAATTACGACAGTGACAACCAACCCGAGAGAATCCCTCCCGCCTTCTCCCCCTTCTAGTCCCTGTGATTCACTGACCAACTAAACACTAGCAAACAGGCCACAAAATGTTAACAGGACAACGATAACAGAAGCAACAGCAGAACAAAACGCCGCAGGCCAGAGACAAGAGCGCCGGGGGCGCAAAGCTAAAAACTATAATTTGTGTGTAGTTGCAGGGGGCAGACCCTGCCGAGTAACACACACAGACACAGACACATGCACGAGTCTAGTTTTATTATTGTGGCTTCATTTGCCATGTACAAAGCGAACGAGCGAAAAAGACAATTGAGTGAGTGAGTGAGTGAGAGAGGGCGAGAGAGTAGGCAACTTAGCGGCAGCATCTAAAATGAAAAATCTCCAGCCCTTCGTCTAATATATGCACATACTTTTATACTTATATTGCATACATAGTTACATATAGACCTGCAGAATATTAGCAGAAAACAGCAAAAAACCGGATGCGTATTGCTCGAAAGTGTGGACAACACTTGTGGCTTTGGGGTCACACGCATTTTAAAAATACATAGAGAAAAATTAAATATAGACAAATTCTCTTGCGAAAAAAATGTATGTTAGTATGATTTATTTCTCATAAAGAACAATTATGTATTTTTTAGTTTAAGTACATTAGTATAAGCTTTTGAAACTGCTGAAAGTATTAAGAAATAGGTTGAAGTCTATTTTAATGATGCTTCTTGTTCACAAAGCGGTTAAAAACAGCTTTGAAAGCACATGAAAGCATTGAAGCATAGCCAATGTTTCTGGCATGGAGCTTTCGGTATTTTTTTTATAGCAAAAA